GGATTGAAGAATCGAATGTAAATAAATAACATGTGTGACGGTTAGTTAGAGAGTGGACGTTCGATGACTTCATTCTGATGATCAAAAAGTAGAGAATAGGAAATTTTCTTTTCTGGTAAACCCACGTTAATGGAAACACTTCGTTCATGCTCTCTTCCTACATAACGTTATGATTCTAAGCAATGAATTAAAAGCAATCGTCATTTAAACTTCAGTTACGTAATCGCAGGTCAAGTTTTGTTGAACGACATGAAGACTGAAGAAGACTGATTGCTTAGGATGTTGAAGTTACGTCACTCTTATCGCCTCACTTGCTTTCGTCAATATCTAGACATTCACTAACAAAATTCCGTATTCATCATAACTGGATTTTCCATTTGGTAATTAAAATCGATCAAACAATCGCCTTCGTCATGTACCAATTGCCTACTGGAAATCCATACAGAAGATACATTTCGAACTTCGGTCATCCCAATTCCGGAACTGCTAGAAAAATCAGACGTTACGTCCAACATACACACAGCTTTAGCGACCGGTATCATCGAATGAATTCCACTATTTGGTCGTGATCGAAAGTGTCGATTAAAAAGTGCTTCTAGTTTCGAACATTGACTGATTTTGTGACTAGTTCCGTCTTTAGATTCGAACGCCTCATCCAATCTCTTCAATGTCAGTTTAGCCGTTAAGGAATGACCGCTGGACCCTCGGTTGTAGACTGACTGGATTGCGCTTGCCAACCAACAATATGCGATGAACAATAAAAAAAAAAAGTAAGACAAAAAGCACCGCATTTTTCCGGCGTCGCTTTATCGAACCAAACCGAATCGAGCGGAGCCAGTGATCCAAATGAAGGCTGTTGGAAGATCGAATGTTTGTAAGTGAATAACGGCCACTGTCGAAGCGAACCGCTGTACAGTAGCGAGACCATGGCGTGATTGAGTCGCAAGAATGTTACTGTTGCTATATGTTACTTATTATGCTTACACTCCTGCTGCTGCTGCTGCTGCTGCTAGTGCTTTGTGTAATGTACCATACGTGCATGCTCATACAGTCCTACCTACTTATTACATTATACAAATGTAGTAACAATATACCGCCAACTTGCACTCCACTGATACATTTCCGCAGTCATTATTATAATTTAATACTGAATAAAACCTGACAAGGGCGATTTACGATTAAATCAGCGCATCGAATGTTCTGGACCACCAAGCTCGTTAATTAGGAACATCTTGGGTGAATACCATAAATATTAATGCATAGTGGTCAAAAATCCTCATGTTTTTGCCAATCAACTCATAGGCTCATAGACATGTACTACTTTTCAAAGAGCATTCATCATCTACGTACGCAAAATTGCTGATCTACTGTAACTTGGATGCTGGTTGCCCCTTTAAGAGTATGTATGAATGGCGATCATCTGACATAATTGTAGGGAGGAAATAGGTCATTGTGCAACAAGTTGAGAAAGTGACAGATTCTAATGAGTTTGAAGATGGGCACGAGATACATTCCGATTATGCTACGAGAACGAGTGAGGAGATTTACGCTTAAATCGAAAGCAAGTACAACAATCCTACGAGTTTTCGTGTGGCATAAAACTCCGGCAGTCCGATTATGCGAATACGGATTATCCGAACTCCGAATTGTCCAAAAAACATGAGGAATGAAATATCACTACTCGTTCAAAATACATTAGGAACTCTTGATTATCCGAAACATTTGAGAACCAGTAATTGGAGTCGGTAATGATTCATCTACATGGTCTTTTTTGAAATTCTTATTGGAAAAAGTGGATGAATGAAGCAATATAACAATTAGTTTCAATGATGCACGGTAATGGAGCGCTGCCTGGAACAATGTTACGAACACCACCATGCTGCAATATTAAACTGGCCCAGAAAGACGTAACTGACCAAGTATAAACATCCTAAGATGTTTGTGAAGATGGTGAGAATTTGTACGAATTAGTAATCAAAGTTAGAAGACCATAGTCGAGAAAATGTTGATAATTGGGAACAGCTAGAAAAGGGTGAATCCTAAGAACTTTCAAACGTTGATCTGATTGAACTAAAGAGTAATACCAGTAGCACTGGAAGCGGAAAGGAGGACAGCAATTGGGAAACAAGTCTTCGAGTAATAAGGCACTAGTGCTTGTTGAAAAGCAACTGGAAACCACTGCAGCAAACGTTCTTTTATAGTAATTTTTGTTAAGTTGATGGAAACTTGTAGTATCTTTATTGGTTCGCCAAGAGCCCCTCGCTGAACATTTAGACAAAAGATTTGGAAAATTCATCATTGTAGATAGGTATGTCATTCTAAAATGAATTGAAGTCATGGAGTAGACTGAAGAAAAAAAATATTTGAAGGATACAATTCTAGCGGCAATTTCAAAGCTTATCGAAAAATCGTTTACGATATGACACTCCCGTGAAGGCGATTANGTAATGCTCCAATTGAAAATAAATACTACGTAATGCTTTTTATCAGTGACGGATAATGAGCATTTGAGGATCGATGCATTCGTTTTTATGGGGCTTTTCAAAAAAAGAAAATAGAAGATAGACTATAAGACCAAATAACATATAATATCCAATGTTTACAAGTCATACATAACTAGAATACGGGGTCACTTGCGGGCCCATAAGTCGGGATCCCATGGGGAATTCATCGCCTGCATCACTTGATTAGATCCACCTGTGCAAAGAGCGTCCAAATATGAAAATTGACTAAGCAGCCAAAATTGTGAATTATTTCCTTCAATTTCGCAAAACCATATCACCTCACGACATCCTGGTGCGCTTGTAGATCATACAAATTTAAATTGGCTTGAACCACTGTATAGACCAAAATGATGCGCGTCCAAATTTGAAAATTGGTTAGGAAGGAACTGAAATTATAGATCATTTCCTTCAATTTCGCAAAACCATGTCACCTCACGACATCCCGATGCGCTTCTAGATCATACAAATATAAACTGGCTTGAACCACTGTATAGACCAAAATAATGCCTGTCCAAATTTGAAAATTGGTTAGAAAGGAGCCGAAGTTATGAATTATTGTCTTCAGAAACATTTTCGTCAAAGCATTTACTACAGCCTGTCGCGCTTTTCTATCACATAGAAAGTAAAGTTGACCTGAATCCAATGGAAGATCTTGATCATTTGAAGCCTCATGCATAACTTTCCTTGGGGATTCCTGCTGTTCAAGAAAAAGTCGTAACTATAAAAATCCTGAATAACACATAACTTTACAATTGTACATAACTGGGTACAGAGCCATTTGTGGCGCCCGATGCAGAGGGCATCATATGCGTCATCTTAGATCTGCCTCTGCTTCTTATTCCGAGTTTGTTAGAGGTACGTGGAGAAGGCAACGATAAGTAAAAAAAGATTTAAAAACGTTTGGATGTTTCAATCCCACCAGCTGCGAATGCTACTGGGCGGAAAATTCCTCCAGACTATGCCAGAGAGTACTGAGGAAGACCTTCTTTAGTTTCCTTTTAGGAATAGTAGGAATTGATGAGTGCTAGTTAGAGTGAGAAAGATGAGACGGATGAAATGAAGACAGAAGAAAATGAAAGATTATCTATGGAATATTATTGGCTCAGTATTTAATGTGTTCCAAGAGAACCACAGAAACACTTGGACCAAAGCAGACAAACCCGGAATCGAACCGATGTCCTTCCAAATATGAAACAATGGTCTAAACCTCTAGGTCATGTTGCTCAGTGACAAGAGAAATGGAATTAGGATATTTTTATAATTCTGCCCAACATGCCTAACATGCTGTTGCAGATGAACGTTATGGTAGAGAGTCAAAGGATGATGGGATGGGAATATTATTTAAAGGATTATAACAATCACTGCCCCAAAAGCTTATGTAATACCTATTTCGTTCATGAAAAGGAATTTTAGTCAAGATAGATACGGACGTAGTGAATTTACGAGCATTCCCACCGAAATGTATAATTCATTATTCTCCGGGAAAATATACAACAGCGAAATAGTAGGCGTGTGTACTGTTTATAAACACGCAGTCTGTAGTGCGGAGAGATAAAGGTGTGCGATTGCCAACTAACGAAAGAGAAAGAAATAGAGAGAGAGAGAGATAACCTTCGTGGAAACGCCAATGATAGGCCGCTTGGCAACAAGGCTCTGACTTTTGACTCACAATCAGAAATTATCTTTAAAACTTTCGAGCGGCAGCGAAACGAATAGAACAAGTTGCCACGCGAAGGAAACGGAATCAGCGAAATTTTTTTCTAGGACTGTCAACAACTTTATATAACTTCTCAATTGCAAACTGTCCTATCAAAACGTGGAAGCATATCTTTTATACAATTGAGAAGTGAGACAACGTTTGGAGTAAGTACACAAATTCGTCAATGAAGTCGAAACTATAAAATGAAGGTAATCAATAAAATGATGTTGATTCCTGGAAATTTAAAATGTGGGGAAAAACACGACAGTTTTTCATGTTATACTAATGAATGGAATCTTACACCATTTACATTTGTGATGCATTTATTATTTTCTTTACGATAAGACTGTATCAGTAGGTACATAATCTATTTGTGACAGAAGTCAATAAGTACAAGTTATCTCGATCATCTTTACTAGAATTTCACCTGAACAACGCTCACGTAGGTGTACTGTAGAAGATGTACTAAGGAAGAATGTTACATCGGTGGTCACTTTACTGTTCACAGTCAAGAATTACAGCAACATACCCAATTTAATTTCACATTGAACTTCATCAATTCGTCATCGCTATAAGGAGTTTCCAAGTCATCAAAAAAGGGAATGTGATACCTACTTTCCATGACCGTCAACATCATCACATACTCATGTATACCCAAAAAAAGTAGACAATAACGCCTAAAGATAATTGTTCACATTTCTGAGCGAATCTTTGAGTTAGCTCAGTAAATTGGAAGCATGACATTTTTTTGCAAAGCTCGCAAGTAGCTGTAACGTTCGGTTAATATTTGTTCCTACCTGCAAATTGTAAACAACGTTGAAAGGAAGTGGTTCAGGAATATCCATGGCACTTATCCTCAAAAGTAAATAAAACACTTTGGACCAAAATACGAAAATGGATGGTACTGGGAAGGACTGAGGAATTGGTTGGTGGAAGACTACCTTTGGAATTACGCGAAACCGATCCACCGGCTTTGAACAGAAAATTCCGAAACCGATCTAGCTACAACGGATAACAAACTCTGACTGACAAGTGTTTGTTGTGCGCATTGTTGCGCGAACGAAGTTGGCCGTGGAATGAAGCAAAAGCTGTAGAGAGACGACGCCGAGCTCCGTCTTCCTCTAACAAGTGAAAGCTATTCAATATTGTGATTTGGCATCTCTCTTCCTCGTGAACTTGGACAGGTACTACATGAGCAACACATACATGCATACATACCTATATGAACCACATGAAAAATAAGGAAATTCGGGTTCTGAACATTTTTGAAAAAATATGCTTTAATGACAATCCCTGAAGCTGCTACATTGAATTCTAATTGATGAGTGAGAGTCATGAGCGAAATGCAGATACACACTAGATGAATAGACGAGATTCAGCTTCAAAACTGAAAAATCGACAATATCAAAGGGCAGAACTCATTCTTGGAAACCCTTGAAGCGACAAGATGCTTCACCAATCGGATAAATGATGATTACCTTTACTACATCACGTAGATTTCTAGAATTTATTAAACCAATCGTTCATGGTCATCTCGTTTGTTTGGATAAGAACACACAATTATATCTCTATGTATAATTACAAAGGAGGCATTGATGTAGATTCTCAATACGCAAACCGCAAAAGTTGCTCAGTAGAAGAAACAGAAAGGAGCACGTAGTACATCTGACGTAAGAATGATAAAAAATATATAAAACTGAATATGAAGGTACTAAAACTACTACTAAAGCATCTTCTAACATACTAACTTCATCCTTCATATAGATTGAGCCATTATCACTCCCTGAATCTTCCATAATGACATTAGCAGGAAAATTTGAGACTGATCAATGCCGCGTGGGAAGGAAATTACTAGCTCACTCTAATGAGTTGAATTTCCTTCAGACAAAGCTGACTAATTTCTTGTAAGCTTTTAAAACTGAGTTTCTGGAAAATGCTGCCGTGTCCTCTGCTTATCTGCAAATCTTTCGTTATGCTAAGCAAATAGAATCTTCAATGTGTTTCGTCTTCGTATCATGGTATGCTACTGATATGACATATGAAGCACAGGATACGACAACATTACCCAAAAACTGAATCTGTTTTTGGTGCCAAACGATTTTGTTTCATTTTTACAGGATTCGGTACCGTCTTTCTGATATATTTTAATTGCAGATGGTCCGTGTATCAATTCACTGAATACTTCATACAGTTTCATGATAGATCGGCACTTTTGAAGATAAGATTTGCTTGCTATCTAAAAACGTTAACAATCGGCGTGCAATATCCCTATTCGATTCGACTAACTGAAATTTTTCCGACCGCAACGCGCAACTACTGTTGTATTGATAACCATGATAATTAAATAGGTTCCAGCAGGAGCCTGGAAGACCATTCTTGGCATGCTGATTCTGTGGCATGGGCATATGGAGTCCTTTAGAAAGATCAATTTGTATATGTATATTGCATGCTTCATCTACACCATCGCCATCAGTATAGTCACCAGAATGTTTAAACTGGAGAAGATGGTAAACAGAACATCCACGTTTGGATGACTAATAACTTGTTATTTTATCAAAAAACAAACTAACAAAAATTGCTAAGCTAACTCAATCACCGATAAGGGAGCTCTACAACAATCCTCCCTTCGAAGATACTATAATAATACAATATACATATGCCTTAACGATAAGGCAAGCAATAAGTTGATAATTTTGATGTCTGAACGCATCTTTTATGTAATTTTCCAACTCAAAATAAATAAAGAAAAGGCAGAATTCGTCTAACGATAAATCCAATCTTAAACCTTTCACCATTTTTCAAATCCTTCCATTTATAACCATTTTAAATTATACATATACCACCGTCTACATTTTCAAGGAAACTAGAATTTTAAATTTCTGTGAATGAGCCGCGTTTATGTAATTCCATTGAACTACTGCGAACACATTAGGTTATCTAAACTCATTGTTTTCATTTGCTTTTATAATTGTCTCTACATATAACGAATATGTCATACATGACACAAATACGTACTACACCTAGTATAATGTTGTTAATGATGAATCATTTTCATGACTCAAATACTTCATAAGCCGTCTTTGTTGCGTTGTTGGCTTTTAATATGACGAAATAGTGACAATAAAACAAGGAATCTGCAACTTTTGTTGTTTTGAATACGTATTTCATTACTGGCTAAAACATCGGATGGTTACTCTACATTTCATTTGACCAAAACATGGTTACCTAAAAATTGGGTTGATCATTAATGACGCTCTATTCTCATAACGCATGTTTGGAAGTCATTTTAAAGATGTTTGCTGACAAAGTTGGATAAAGTAATGTATTGGGGCTAGAAAGAGTGAATGAGGTGAGAGATCTAATTTTCTCCAAGACCTCACACCAAACGGCATGACCTAGAGGTTTAGACCATTGCTTAGCATTCGGGAGGACGCCGGTTCGATTCCGGGTCCATCTGCCTTGATCCAAGTTTTCCTGTAATTACTTAAGCAAATGCTGGGGCAGTAACAATCCATAGACAATCATTCACCCTCTTATATCTTCATTTCGTCTGTCTCATCTTTGTCATTCCAATCACCACACACACACATTCCCACAGTTCCAAAAAGGAGGTTGAAGAAGGCCTTCTGCCCTACCCTTCTACGTAATCTAAAGGGACTGACCGCTCACCAGAAGTACTAGCTAATGTGAGGGAAAACACCCAAAAGTTTCTTTTTCCTGTTAATGATGTTCAACGCGCAGCCAGTATTGAATTAATTTGAATGAAATTATGAGAGCATGTATTAGGGACGCACGCAAAGTTAGAATTTGCGACAATCAGATCCTAAGGAATAAGGCCGAATGAGGTGTCACATTCGAGAGATGTTTTTTGATTTTTCAAGAAAATCACACTTCTTGAGTTATAAGGGGTCATATACCCTGCAAACGAAGCCACGACGGGTTTTGCTCCTGGACACCGATTTACTGGTAAAATCTGGAAGAGGAGGTCGGATAAATCAATGCATTTGGAGTAGAAAGAATAAGGAAGATGTGTAAAGTAAGCATCTAATTTTCTCTGAAATTATTAATAGGTATTAGATTACCTATTCGTATCTACTGGACGGTGAACAATTTCCACCTGACTGGAAAATTAGGGCAGACCTTATTACCATACAGGCCGAATTTACTAGAACATCTCCGATTATGGAATATTATATATGACCCTAATTAGGGGCTCAGCAGCAACACCCATTTACAGCATGCTCTGTTAAGATCAATATGACTCTGATGTGGACACTCCATTTCAACCCCTTAGAGCTATGCCTCATTTAGCCTGATCTAATCTTAATGGTGATAAACTATCTGAATCTTTCTACGCCATGCTCCTTTAAGGCTCTGACTGGATAACTTGATCAAGGTCAGATTGTGTAACCAAAGGAGGGTAGCCCCAGTCTGACCAAATCTGGCTGCCTATTAGGCCCAGATGTCTTAAGACGTTGCATTTCTGATGTGACCTAGAAAGTCAGATAGTTTGATCAGGGTCAAACTAAGTAATCTACCTAACCATGCGGGGTAGTCCCAACCGAACCAAATGCGATTGTCTGACAGGACCCAAAGGTTTTAAGCGTAACGTTTCTGATTATCCAAAGAAGATTATTTTAACCAACCTCTATTTGGAGTCAGGTAGGTCCTGGTCCAAATATGGGTATGACTTCGTCTGGTATCCAATTAAGAAAAATAATTATAAAAGATCGACTAAGAGAAATGTATTTTTAAGACACGGTGACACGTGACTCTGCTAGTCATGTGTCCAGGAAATACAGTTTATGTTAAATTCAGATTTACGCGAAAATATTCCTCGGAACGATTAAGTTATTCCTTCTGCTCGGTCAACTGAATAATGCGATTGTTCAGTATGAATTTAAAAAAATTCAATTTGAAATTAAGATCGATTCCAATCATGCGGGCACGGGTGTTATTTTAAAACTTACGTCACCGCCTCGATTTAAGCGTACACAAGCCATACGAAAAAAAAAAATAAACTCCAACTCTAAAAAATAAACGGAATAGCTAAAAATCACACTTTAGCAAACGCTTTTGGATATTTATCAAAGATTAACCATAAAATAGGAAGAAATTTATTGGCAAGCAAAATTTCAAGTACCTACTTTGTGGTTNAAAACATAAGTGTTTCCTTCCTGTAGGTACCGTGTGGAGATGGAAACTTCTTTTTCCTATATTGAGCAAAGACATTTCAACTTAATTTACATACCTACACAATATATCAATCAATTTGGAACATTCTTGATAACAACATTTCAATGAGTTGTATTTTTTTGAAATGCTGGTTTGTCATGATCGAGACTATATCAGCAGGATAAAGACCAAGACTACAAGTATGTGAGCAAGACCTAGTCCATGACCAAGACAGTCTGTTATAACCTAACTGATTTCAAAAGCTTTTGCAAGTAGTTTTCATGAAAACTGCCCAAAGATGAAATGAATTCGTAGACATATACGAGCCGGATTCCAAAACACAATTGTTTCCTTCCTTTACGAATCCTGTGGAGATGGAAACTTCTTTTCTCAATATTAGGCATAAACATTTTGACTTTACTATTATATCATGTACTTACATGCCTACACAATATCAATCAATTTGGAACATTATTGATAACAACATTTCAATGAGTTGTATTTTTTTGAAACGCTGGTTTGACATATCAGCAGGATAAAGACCAAGACTAGAAGTATGTGAGCAAGACCTAGTCCATGACCAAGACAGTCTGTTATAACCTAACTGATTTCAAAAACTTTTGCAAGTAGTTTTCATGAAAACTGCCCAAAGATGAAATGAATTCGTAGACATATACAAGCCGGATTCCAAAACACAATTGTTTCCTTCCTTTACGAATCCTGTGGAGATGGAAGCTTCTTTTCTCAATATTAGGCATAAACATTTCGACTTAACTATTATATCAAGTACTTACATGCCTACACAATATCAATTAATTTGGAACATTCTTGATAATAACATTTCAATGAGTTGTATTTTTTTGAAACGCTGGTTTGACATGATCGACACTATATCAGCAGGA